CGAGGGCTCAGCAGGGGGAGCACCTAGCTCAGGGTGCAGGCCCAGTGGGGGTCAGGGTGAGAGCGTAGCCGCTGCTCCAGCCCTGTGACAGGGATAGCAGGTGCTGCCGAGGCCTGGCCAGTCCAGCCAGTGGCGCCCTGGGGGTGACGGGATGTGAGCTGTTACTGTGGAAGGTGCACAGTCACCCTCCCTGCCCCGGCGCTGGCCACCAGGGTTCCTCAGCCTTTGCACATCTTTCTGTCCCTGACTGGAACAGTGCCTTTGTTTCTGGCACCTCCACCTGGGGTGCTGATGGCTGCCCCCCAACGCTGCAGGCTCCTGCTGGGAGCTGGGGCTGCGACACTGGCAGGAGTGAGGCTCCTGTTGCTGCAGCGGCTGTGTGGTGCAGCACTTGGGGTGTAGGGGCTGTGACGTGGCCCAGCTCTGCCTGGGTCACCGAGACTGGGAGCCAGCCCTGCAGGGAGTGTGAGCTGTGTGAGCTGGGAGGCGGAGGAGTCCTGCGGGCTGGGTCCTGTGCTCCAGGCCGGGCCTTGACACCCGACATCACGGGAGCAGCGGCCCTGCAGGACGCGGGAGGAGCTGAGCACAGCAGTGCAGAGAGACAAGGTGTTCGTGGGGCTGCCGTGTCCCCAAGGTGTGTCCCCAACAGAGCGTCCCTGTGGGTCCCCAGGCCTGCGGCGTAGACAGGAAGAGCAGGGTGTCCCTGAGGTGCACAGGCTTGCAGCGTAGACGTTCCGTCACTCAGCCGATGCACAGGGTCAGACTCACTCAGCCGATGCACACGGGGTGAGCCCCCTGGAGGGGGCTGCCCTTGGGAAGTGGACGAGGCGTGTCTTGTGGGACGTCTGGGGGCTTGAGCTGAGCCTGGGTGGTGTCTGGGTCCTGACTTCTGAGTGCTGGGGTGCGCCCTGGGGTGTGGGATGACCGGAGATGACAGAGGGGCAGGTGAGCCATGGTCAGGGAGTGGGGCAGGAGAGAGGAGCAGGTTGGCCTGGCCAGTCAGCGGAGTGGGCGGAGCCCGCAGAGCCCCCAGGCCAGCTGGGCTGCGGGCCAGTGGAGAGCGCGGCTGCAGGCAGCAGGTGCAGTGGGAGGTTGGAGGGGCTTGATGGGCCTGGGGTGCTGAACTTCAGCCCTGTGGGGTGCAGGGCACCTGCCTGTGATTTGAACTTGCTCATCTTGGCCCCACTGACTTTGGGACACTGTCCTTACCCCCTTCTGTCCCAAGCGGTCCCTCTGCTTTCCGGGGAGCCCCGAGTCCACTTTGCCAGTGGCTTCATGTACTGAGTATGTTGTGGGTTTCACGAAGCACAGAGCTTGGGGTCTGGCCCATGAGCAGGCGTCAGACCTCTCCCTGTTATGGCCCAGGCACTGCCATGCAATGGATCTGCTGGTTTGTTTTGCTCCATGGCTGCTCAGGAGTGTCCCCTCTGTGTGTATGCCCACACAGGTTTGCATGTCCTCTTGGGCACACACCTGGTGGCATCATGGGCGCCTGTCCGCTTGGTCACAGGGGGGGCAAGTGCCTGTCGGGGGTCGCCCGACTCTTGGTCTAGAGCCGCTACGGTGGGCCGCTGCGTCGGGGCCATGTCCGCCTGATCAGAGACTTACTACGCGTGCCACTGGTGGCTGTTCGAGGGCTAGGCTGTCACTTGGTCACAGGCCTGGTGGCGTCGTGGGCGCCTGTCCCCATGGGCACAGGCCTGGTGGCGTTGTGGGTGCCTGTCCCCTCGGGCACAGGCCTGGTGGCGTCGTGGGCGCCTGTCCCCATGGGCACAGGCCTGGTGGTGTTGTGGGCGCCTGTCCCCTCGGGCACAGGCCTGGTGGCGTTGTGGGCGCCTATCCCCTCAGGCACAGGCCTGGTGGCATCACGGGTGCCTGTCCCTCTGCATCCTTTTTCCCAGAACCTGTTAGGCGCAGTGGGGCAGCATGGCACTGCACCTTCACTCCTTGGGCCTGGCTTGCATCCTTGGAGGTGAGTGATGGCATTGTCTTCTCGGCTGTGTCTGCTCTGCGGGAATGCCGCCCAGGGTCTGCCCAGACTCTTGACTGGGTCTGGAGTGGCTGCCTTCTTTTTTTTTTTTTTTTAATTCATTTATTTATTTATTTGAAAGAGTTACAGAAAGAAAGACAGAGATCTTCCATCTCATGGCTCACTCTCCAGATGACCAAGCACATGGCAAAATTGAGCCAAGCCTAGGCCAGGAGCTTCTCCTGGGTCTCCCACATGGATGCAGGGGCCCAAGCATTTGAGCCATCCTCTGGAGTTTTCCCAGGCCATTAGCTCGGAGCTGAATGGGAAATGGAGCAGTTGGGACATGAACCATATGGATGGCAGCACCACAGGCAGTAACTTAACTTGCTATACCACAGCTCTGCCCCTGGGTGACTTTATAAAGATCAGCTGGTCTTTGGTGAGGGAGGGAGACTTAAGAGAATCAGGCTGGAGGTGAGGGCTGTGGGAGGAAGCAGCTGGAGTGGACAGTGAGGCGGGGCCTCCAGGGAACGGGTGGGAAGTGAGGCCGAGGAGTGAGATTCTGCGATCGGAAGGTGAGGCAAGTGTGTTGAGCGTGGGGAGGTGGGGTGCACGCAGGTCTCCTCCGGCCCGGCACCCGGGCTGGCAGCACTAGAAAGGCAGCGGTAATTGGCGGGCAGGCATCCAGAGGGGTGGGTGGGGCCTAATAACAACAATAATAACAATAATTTGTCTCGAGGTTAATAGCACTCCCAGTGCCGCGCGCTAATTGGATTGTTCAGGGTGGGCAGGGGAGGAGTGCTTGGCCCCAGCCCTGCTGCCCATGGCCGCTGTCCACCTGTAAGTGCTTTTCATTTGGCCTTTTCCCTGGGCCAGCGGGGTGGGGGGTGGACCCTTCCTGGGCCACGGTGCTTTCCTAGCCCCAGCCCCTTGTGCCACAGGCCCTCCCAAACCGGGCATCTGAAGGGGAGATGGTAGGAAATGCAGGGCAGCCCGCAGCCTTGCCCCTCCAACTGGGGCTTCCCATCTGGGCCCTGGCTCTCAGTTCCCAGCCGATTTTCCTGCCATGGGCCCGACTGCAGTGGCTGGGGCTTTGTGGGCGAGAAGCACGCTAGGGCAGGGGCGTGGGGGAGAGGCGTGCTGGGGGGCATGGGACGTGGGGGAGAGGTACACAGGGGGATGTGGGGGAGAGGTGTGCTGGGGGGCGTGGGGCATGGGGTAGAGGCGTGCTGCGGACCCTGGGGCGTGGGGGAGAGGCGCGCTGGGGACCCTGGGGCGTGGGGGAGAGGCGTGCTGGGGACCCTGGGGCGTGGGGGAGAGGCGTGCTGGGGACCCTGGGGCGTGGGGGAGAGGCGTGCTGGGGACCCTGGGGCGTGGGGGAGAGGCATGCTGGGGACCTTGGGGCATGGGGGAGAGGTGTGCTGGGGACAGTGGGGCATGGGGGAGAGGCGTGCTGGGGCCGTGGGGCGTGGCGGGAGAGGCATGCTGGGGCCGTGGGGCGTGGCGGGGAGGCAGTGGGATTGGTGGGGAGGCTTGGCCCCGGGGGGTGGCAGGGTAAGAGTGCTATTAACCTCCCCCCAGCTTTGGGGGAGGCAAGGGGTGGTAGGGGGAGACAGGAGGAGGCCCGGCTTGGGGGAAGGCTAGCGGAGGCAGGAGGAGGCTGGCGGAGGCTAGCAGAGGCAGGGGGAGGCTGGCAGAGGCAGGGGGAGGCTGGTGGAGGCAGGAGGAGGCTGGCGGAGGCTAGCGGAGGCAGGGGGAGGCTGGTGGAGGCAGGAGGAGGCTGGTGGAGGCAGGAGGAGGCTGGCGGAGGCTAGCAGAGGCAGGGGGAGGCTGGTGGAGGCAGGAGGAGGCTAGCGGAGGCAGGGGGAGGCTGGTGGAGGCTGGCCGAGGCAGGGGGAGGCTAGCTGAGGCAGGGGGAGGCTGGCCGAGGCAGGGGGAGGCTGGCGGAGCCTGGCCGGGTTACAGTTTGCTGTGGTGCGGGGTGCGGAGGCGGCCCCAGGTCGCTCCTCCCCCCTGCAGCCTGGGCGGCTCCTTGTGTTCTAACGCGTCTTTAGTGTTTATGGTTGTAACCAACTTTGGCACGGTTTCTGAACGCATGTTTACTTTTAATAAAAGATACGCACTTACCAACACGTGGTGGTGTTCCATACGCTCACAGGGTTGCCTGGGTGTGGGCAGAGTGTGGGCGTCCCTGCTGGCCATCAGGAGCATCTGGGCCACGTGGCCTGGTGCTCTGGGGCCCCTCGCTCCGGGCCCCTGTCGGCCAGCCCCAGCTGTGCCAGCCAGCCAGCTGCGTGAAGCTGTGGCGCATGCGAAGCCCTGACGGCTCACCACCTGTCCTCTGGGAGCTCTGCCGTCCCGAGAGCCAGGGTGACAGGAGGCAGGCTGGAGGGGACGTGTGCTGCAGTGGTGGCCCCGCACGGGAGGACCTGGAGGCCGGCAGGACGGGGCCAGTGCTTGGCGGGCAGTGCCTGCTCTTGGCTACACGCAGGTGCCACAGGCGAGGGCTCCCCCTGTCTCGGGGAATGTGGTGCATGGTAGACTCTGCCTCTCCTACAATGCCCAGTGCCTGATGGGTAGACTTCACTACGGCCAGCACAGCGACCTTCAGCCTTCCTGTTGCTGAGACACCCGGGGGTCAAGTTAGAAAGGGGGCGTCTGGTGCATAGCGTAGTGGTCAAAATCCTCGCCTTGCATGCACCAAGATCCCATACGGTCGCCGGTTCTAATCCCAGCAGCCCAGCTTCCCATCCAGCTCCCTGATTGTGGCCCGGGAAATCAGTCGAGCACGGCCCAAAGCCACATGGGAGACTTGGAAGAAGCTCCTGGCGCCTGGCTTCGGATTGGCTCAGCTCCAGCCATTGCGGTCACTTGGGGAGTGAACCATCGGATGGAAGATCTTCCTCTCTGTCTCTCCTCCTCTCTGTATGTTTGCCTTTCCAAATAAATAAATTAAAAAAAAAAGGGGGACCAGTGGGGCTCACACAGGGGCAGGGCCTGGCAAGCCTGGGCCCTGCTGGCATTTCCTCCTGTCTTTGGTGGTCAGTGGGCCTTGGTTCTAGTCTTTCCTGTTCTGACCATGGTGGTCTCGTGTCCCAGCCCTGCAGCTCTGGGTCTGAGGGGAGTGTGGGGCCAGGTGGAGAGACACCGGGGTGGTGTCTGAGGATGCAGGCCTGTGGCCACTGTCTCAGAGGATCCTGGGACTCAGGTGGAGGCCCACGCTGTCCCCAAGTGCTGCCTGTCGCTTGAAGCACTTCTGATGTCGCAGTGGGTTTTCCATCCTTGCCCTCCCCCGGGCCTCGTTTGCCTTGGTGTCTCTAGCCTTGGGAGCAGCCCCTGTCCCTGGGGAGGCCCTGTGCCTGTGGGTGGAGGGCGAGGACAGTCGGCGGGGCCGGTTCCCCACAGCGGTGACAGAGCCAGGGTCTGGCCCTGCTGGGAGAGGGGCACCAGGGCCTGGGCATGCCCTCCCACAGATGAGGCTGTGCCAGGAGCAGGATCTCCGGCCCGAGGCAGAGGGCAGGAGCAGCGAGACGCTGCCCAGCGGGCGCGTGGAGAGCTTGGTGAACCCTGGCGTGTGTGGAGGGGGAGGCAGACAGCAGGGCAGCACGTGGTCGCGGCAGGCATGACCGCACACAGCTGCTGGCGGCCGTGGGGTCACTCCCAGCACCGTGCCGGGGACCACTGCTGGCTGGGCTGTGTATGGGGAGGCCTCACCTCACAGCCAGCCTGGAAGAGTCGCTTGACCGTGGCCTCCAACGGGACTCAGGACCTGCCATGCCCGAAATGGGAGCCACATGTTGCATTTTGGGTAGATGAGTTGTTTGCTCTTTTCTGACTGTGCCAGTCAGCTGCCATAATTGCCCCAGACCCTGGCGGAGTGCTCACGCTGCGTGTCTGCTCCAGCTGTACTGCCCAGTGTTCCCACACACCGGGCCAGTTGGCCAGCTGTGGGAGGCGCCCAGGTCCCACAGGGTGGGGAGGTGGAGGAGAGATGGGGCAGAGGCTCAGGATGGACGTGGCATATGGGGCACTGATGGGCCTGGGGGGCACTGTGAGCCATTCAGCCGCCCCACCCTGCACACAAGCATGTTCGTGTCCCCCTGCCAGGGAGGACACTGGGACTTGGAGGTGGAGCTTGAGCATGAGTCCCCGACACACAAGGTTTACCCTCTGTCCACACGAGGCCTGCTGCCAGCTGCCCTGCCGAGCGCTGGCCCCCTGGCGTCCTGTCAGCTCTGTCTTCCATCTGCCTCTAGCAGGGACCCAGACATGGAGCTGCGGGAAGAGGCCTGGTCTCCGGGGCCGCTGGACTCTGAGGACCAGCAGATGGCTAGCCACGAGAACCCAGGTGAGGGGTCTGCTGCCCTCCTGCCCCTTGCCCTTCCCTGACCCAGCCCTGCACTCTCTGTGGCATGGGCTTGTGTCCATCAGCTGGACCTCATCTGGTTTGCTCCAAACATCCCAGATGATCTCGGCAGGAAGCGCCAGCGACTGGGGCTGGGGGCCATGGCTGAGCGAGGCCCGGGGATGAGCTCTGAGCAGGCTGGGGGCCATGGCTGAGCGAGGCCCGGGGATGAGCCCCGAGCAGGCTGGGGGCCATGGCTGAGCGAGGCCCGGGGATGAGCCCCGAGCAGGCTGGGGGCCATGGCTGAGCGAGGCCCGGGGATGAGCCCTGAGCAGGCTGGGGGCCATGGCTGAGCGAGGCCCGGGGATGAGCCCGAGCAGGCTGGGGGCCATGGCTGAGCGAGGCCCGGGGATGAGCCCTGAGCAGGCTGGGGGCCATGGCTGAGCGAGGCCCGGGGATGAGCCCTGAGCAGGCTGGGGGCCATGGCTGAGCGAGGCCCGGGGATGAGCCCTGAGCAGGCTGGGGGCCATGGCTGAGCGAGGCCCGGGGATGAGCCCTGAGCAGGCGGGGGGCATGTGCTCGTGTGCAGGAGCGGGCTGAAGGTGGAGCTTTAATTCCTTTTCACTTGGTGGTAAAGCAGTGTTTGGCTTGTACCACATGTACTTGTGGACCACAGGAGGCCCTGTGTGGAGGTGACATGGCTCAGTGACAGCACAGGGGGGCTCCAGTCCCTCTGCTCTGATCTGACTCCACTGTCACACCACAGAGTGGGTCCCACTGTGCAGGCAGCCTTGGGGTGTGCGGCCTTTCCGTGCCCTCCAGGACTGCTGCCAGCCTCTGTACAGGTGAGCCCATGCCACAGTGCTGCTTTCCTACAGCCCTTCGTGTGGGCATCTCAGGGCAGGGGACGCGGCACTGCCCAGCAGCCTCACCCCAGGCTTCTGAAGATTCAGCCTGGTGCCTGTACAGTGCCTGGCCTTCCTGCCTGCTGGCCTTCGGCCTTCAGCCTGGGGCCTGCGGCCTGGGGCCTCTGTTGCAGGATAATCAGAAACAAGCTTCCCACAGCCAGAGCCTCCTTGGCTGGCCTGTGGGTTCCCCCAGGTCCCCATGCAAGCACAGCAGGGCCTCCCAGGGCCTCCTGGCTGGGGAGGCAGGTGCCTCCAGATGTACGTGAATGCCTGCAGCACAGCTGCACCCTGGGTGCTGGGACCAGTCAGGTCAGGTGTGCACCCCGGGTGCTGGGAACGGCCAGGTCAGGTGTGCACCCCGGGTGCTGGGAACGGCCAGGTCAGGTGTGCACCCCGGGTGCTGGGACTGGCCAGGTCAGGTGCTGCAGCGGGCAGGAACTGTCTTTGAGGAGGAAGAATGGAGTCCTTGGTGACCCCAGGGGCAGCAGGGGCCAGGTGTGAGCCCTGGGGGCTGTCCGGAAAGTGGGCAGTGGGAACATGGGACTGGAGAGTGGGGCTGGATTTACCCGCTGGGTGGGGAACCCTGCAGCCGTCAGTGGATGCGCGCAACCAGCCGGAGTTGGCCGTGGTTCCCCTCGGGGCTGGTGTCTGGGCTGCTACACTAGCTGTGTGTCTGGCAGGCACCGGTGGTGACCCCAGCGTCGAGTCAGCTCTGTGTGCGGCAGGAGAAAGAACTGCACCTGCTGAGCCAGTGCCCAGTGCTCGGCCCCGCCCCCTGGGGCTTCTCCTGGAGGGGCGAAGCCCAGGCTGTGGCTCCCACGTCCCCTTGCCTGCCTCCTGGGTCCCCACAGTGCTCAAGACTGTTTCCATGGCCCCTGATCCTGGCTCGTGGAGGAGGGCGGTGAGCAGGCAGGTGCCAGGGGCGACTACCTCCTGCGGCCCAGCAAGGGAGGCAGGCAGCAGGCCAAGGGCGTGGGCTGAGGAGGCGTGCTTGCACCAGTGAGGGAGGCTGGGCTCCCTGCCGGGGTTCCTCGAGGCCCCTGGAGCCCTGCCTCGCTCATGTCCCCCGTCCCTCCCTTGCCTTCCAGTGGACATCCTCATCATGGATGACGATGATGGACCCAGCTGGCCGCCCACCAAGCTGTCCCCGCCCCAGTCCGCGCCGCCCGCGGGACCCCCGCCCCGGCCGCGGCCACCCGCCCCCTACATCTGCAACGAGTGCGGCAAGAGCTTCAGCCACTGGTCCAAGCTGACTCGGCACCAGCGCACTCACACGGGCGAGCGGCCCAACGCCTGCAGCGACTGCGGCAAGACCTTCTCGCAGAGCTCGCATCTGGTGCAGCACCGGCGCATCCACACGGGCGAGAAGCCCTACGCGTGCTCCGAGTGCGGCAAGCGCTTCAGCTGGAGCTCCAACCTCATGCAGCACCAGCGCATCCACACGGGCGAGAAGCCCTACGCCTGCCCCGACTGCGGCCGCAGCTTCACGCAGAGCAAGAGCCTGGCCAAGCACCGGCGCTCGCACAGCGGCCTCAAGCCCTTCGTGTGCCCACGCTGCGGCCGCGGCTTCAGCCAGCCCAAGAGCCTCGCGCGCCACCTGCGCCTGCACCCGGAGCTCTCCGGGCCTGGCGTGGCAGCCAAGGTCCTGGCGGCCAGCGTGCGCCGGGCCAAGGCGCCCGAGGAGGCCGCGGCGGCGGACGGCGAGATCGCCATCCCGGTGGGCGACGGCGAGGGCGTCATCGTGGTGGGCGCGCCGGGCGAGGGCGCCGCCGCGGCTGCAGCTGTGGCGAGCGTGGGGGCCAAGGCGGCTGGGCCGCGGTCACGGCGCGCTCCAGCCCCCAAGCCCTACGTGTGCGTGGAGTGCGGGAAGGGCTTCGGGCACGGAGCCGGGCTGCTGGCCCACCAGCGGGCCCAGCATGGCGACGGGCTCGGGGCGGTGGGTGGCGAGGAGCCGGCGCACATCTGTGTGGAATGCGGCGAGGGCTTCGTGCAGGGTGCCGCGCTGCGCAGACACAAGAAGGTCCACGCCGTGGGCGCGCCCTCGGTCTGCAGCGACTGCGGGCAGAGCTACTACCGCGCGGGCTGCGAGGAGGAGGAGGCTGAGGGGCCCGGCGGGCGGTGCGGCGAGTGCCGTGGTGGGGAGGGCCGGTAGGGCTGGAGAGCCCGGGGCGGCGGGTAGGGCCCCTCGGGCTTGGCAGGGAGCAAGACCCAGAGGCCAGGGGCTGCAGACGCGGCACAAGGCCCAGGACGCGGTGTGCTCGTCGCTCCGCCTCCCCAAGTTAGGCAAGGACGCCTGTCCACTGAGACCGCACCTGGTGCTCTGCAGACCCTGCTGCCCGGGACCTGGATGAGTCCCGGTGGACTGGGCAGAGGTGGCGAGGAGCGGCCTGCTGCAGCGAGAGTGCCCCTCCCCTGCCTCCAGAATGTTCTTTGTGGGCTGCTCCCTGCAGGTGTTCCGGCCGCCGTGGTTCCTCCGACTTGTGCGGTAGTGGACGCTTGGGGACAGGGGCGGGCCTGTCCGCGGGCCTGGCGGGGACAATAAATGGCACTGTTCAGTCGTCCCTGCCTGCGTGTTCTTCAGTCTGGGAGAACCCACAGGGTCGGGGTTCTGCTGGGCTGTCCAGGAGGGGGCATGGAGCCTGGAGCCAGCAGCCCTGAGTGCTGCCAGCGCTGGGAGCCGCGCGAGGTGACTGGTCATGCTGCAGTGGGCGCCGGATGGCTGCCAGGTGCGACCAAGGGAGGCGTCTGAGGCTCTCTGTCCTGGGAATCCCGGTGTCTCAGGGTGGACCCCGTGATGGCGGAGAACCCAGTGGCCCCAGGAGGTTAGGCCCCTGGTTGGAGCCTCAATCAGGGCTCAGGAGCTGGGCCCTGGTGTGCAGGGCGGGAGCCCTGGGAGAGTGTTAGCAGTTGGATTTCCAAGTGGCCACGGCTTGGCTGGAATCATTGGAACTGTGCTTGCTTTTATTTGGGAATTTTGGCTCTCTGGGGGCACAGGTAAACAAAGAATTAGGAGAACTTGGCTTAATGTCCGGAGACCCCTTATGTCCTGCGTGGATCTTGGGTGCCCTCTGAGGCGAGGGCAGAGAGGGCGCGGGTGGGGGTGCTACACAGGCTGCGTGCCTCGGGCCAGCAAGCTGTCCTCCCTGGCCCTCAGGCCCTGGCCGTGGGCCATCCTGGGCCCTGCGAAGCATCCCTCGTTTTCCCAGTAGCACCCACTCTCCCTTTGTGACAACCGAAGTGCTCCAACTGAAGGGGACGTTGCCTGGGGAAGCATCCGGTCTGCTGGGCAACGTCCTCCCTCAGCACTCCTGGGGAAGGCGGGCAGCATCATGGTGCTAGCTAAGCCTCTGCTGCCGTGCCGGACCCCACATGAGTGCAGGCTGTGTCCTGGCTGCTCCACTTCCCATCCAGCTCCCTGCCTGTAGCCTGGGAAAGCAGCAGAGAATGGCCCAGAGCCTGGGGACCCTGCACCCATGTGGTAGATCAGGAAGAAGTTCCTGGCTCCTGGCTTTGGATCAGCGCAGCTCTAGCCGTTGAGCGAACCACAAAATGGAAAGTCTTCCTGCCTCCTCTTCTCTGAATCTGCCTTTCTGCTCAAGATAACGCTTTAAAAAGAAATATTCTCGGTGGCTTTCTCCTTAACCCGGCTGGGCAAGGTTCGTTCACCTGCAGGTGGTCTCAGCTGGCATGGCGGCAGGGGGCGGCGCTGCTCTGGGCTGTGTCTGGCACTGGGTAGGTGGTGTCTCATCTGTCACCTGCTAGGCCATGCTGATGGGCATCTGGGTTGCTCACACCTGTTGGCTGCTGTATCTCCCTAGCCCAGCCATCCTGCAGGTCACCAGGCTGTGCTTGAGTGAGGGTCAGCTCCTGGTCCCAGAGTGGCACCCTGAGCCCCAGACCCGTAGGCAGTACAGTTACTTACTGGAAATCCCACATGTTTTTGCATGAAGTGCTCTGTATCTTCTTTCCACATCTCCTCCCTTAAATGTAACACGTTGGAGGAGGCCTGCCAGGGAAGACCCCTCTGGGGGCTTCTTAGATGGGAACAGTTTTCACAGAGTACAGGGCTGGTCCCCACGCCCTGCTCCTGCAGGTGCAGCCTGCAGCTCCCGTGTGGAGGAGCAGGGGGTGGGCGGAGGCCCTGAGCTGAGGGCAGGAGGGACGAGAAGGGCCTTCCTGGCTGGGGGAGGGGAACGACAGGCTGCCGGGCTATCACAACTCTACTTGTTTGGGAAATATGTTTAATTTGAGAGACTGTCTTCCTTCTGTTGGCTCACTCCCCAAAAACACACAACGGCAGAAACCAGGAGCCAAGGTCGCCAGCCAGGTTTCCCGTGTGGGTGCAGGGCCCAGACACCTGGGCCATGACCCCACTGCCTTCCCAGTCCACGAACAGGGAGCTGGATGGAAGTGGAACTGCTGGGACCTGAACCAGCGCCCACATGTGATGCCAGCGTTGTGGGTGGTGGCTCGACTCCCATCTTACCTAGAGGTTTTGTTGCTGTTAAAGTAATCCCACAAACAGCATGCAGGACTGGATTCCACAAGGCAGAGCTGTGGGCCCTGCACGCCCAGCCACCGCCGGTCCTGCTCATCCACTCACCCAGCTCCGTCGCCGTGCTGTCACCTGCCTGCTGTCCCAGCTCCCCACGCCACCTGACACTGGCTCTCAGCATCACTTCCTGCCATGCTCCGCTCCCCCGGAGCCCGTGTTCTCACGTGACCTGAGAGATCCCCCACTTGCTGGCTCACTGCCACGGCCAGAGTGGGGCTGCTGCAAAGGTGGAATCCAGGAGCTTCCTCTGATGGCTTTGGGCCGTCCCCCGCGGCTTTCCCAGGCCGCCAACAGGGAGCTGGACGCAGGTGGAGCAGCCAGGACATGAACCAGCACCCACATGGGATGCTGGCACTACAGGTGGAGGATCAGCATGCTATACCATGGCGCCGGCCCCTCGCTTTTCTACAGTTTGAACAGTTGTAGCTCATCTGTGTACTCAGTCTCCCCTCGCCATCCTGTGCCTGCGGCTCTGGCCCAGTGCCTGGGGCTGGAGACTATGGAATAATCAGTCTCCTGCCTTGGGGACTTGGAATCAAATGAACAGTAAGGGCTTGGATGTACCTCGGTTACCCAGAGCTGCTTGGGAGCCGCTGTCTGTCATCTGTGGGTTCAGAGGTCACAAGCTTGCAGCCGCTGGGAGCTCGTAGCGGAGCCCAGAAGGCACACCGGGCCTGGCAGGGTGGGAGAAGCAGGCCGCCCAGGCCCAGGCTCCCCCTCCCCTGCCCTGGAAAGCTCCAAGAGGCCTGCCTTCAGACAGGTGTGAGCTGAGTAGAGTTGGCCATGACCCTGGGCTCTCCCCTCTGGGCGCCCCCGGCTTCTGCGGTGTGGGGAGCAGAGCTGCCACTGCGTCTAGTGCTAGGTTGGATGCCCACCCCCGTACCTGCAGCCATCTATCCTCCAGCCTCTGGTTCACTCCCCACATGGTTGCTGCAGCCAGTGCTAAGCCATACCAAAGCCAGGAGTTCAGACTCCATGCAGGACTCCTCCCTGAGTGGGCGGCAGGAATTCAGGCCCTTGGTCAACCCTTGGCTGCTTTTGTCAGGGAGATGCATCGGAAATGGAGCAGCCGGGACTAGATCTGGCTCCCGTGCGAATGTTGGTGCTGCAGGCAGTGGCTGAACCCACTGCATCACAAGGCTGACCCTGAATTATACCTTTAAAATGGCAAAGCTAGCTACGTTTTACCAGCAGACAACTGATAAACCCTCCCACAACATGTACCGGAGGAAGTTTTCTAGAAAGCAGCTGTGAGCCCAGGCTAATGTGAGAAGCAGGAGGGCAGACATTTCTGATACCCAAAGGAAGTTTGCTCTGGCCACACCAGAAGGGCAATGCAGGGGGCAGGGAGGGAAGAGAGGACAAGCAGTCGTGGGGGACGGAGCTGGGCAGTGCCCAGGCTGACCGAGCCAGCCGTTTGATTTGTAGGCAATGTGTGAGTGGCTCGGGCACAGGAGCTCAGAGATGGAGCCTGGGCTTGCACAGCTCCTGCCGACTACTGGGTGTGCTCACTTCCTCTGCCTCAGTTTCTCTACCCGGAGGGGCAGTGGAAGCTGGGCCTCACCTGAGTAAGTGCTTTGGAGCTCAGCGAGTTACCCTGCCAACAGGGCTGAGGACCAAGCTAGGTACACAAGTCTGTCAGACCTGTTGTCAAGCACCGCGGACTAATGGCACAGACGCGAGGACCCAGCTGAGAACAGGTGACTTTCACACTGTTGCAGCAGCCGACCAGTCGTTACTCCGAAGCCTCAGCAAGGTTGGCTGCAGCAAGTATGCCGCTTTCCATCACATGGTTAGCCAACTGGGAAGGAGCTAAATGCCAATGAGCACTCGAGTGCCAGTCTGCATACCCCAGGCTATCCCAATCCCTACCTGCAGAGGTCAGCCAGGTACCTGCTGGACCATCGACCAGCCGTTCACCTGCTGTGCTGGACCATCGACCAGCCGTCCACCTGCTGCGCTCAGACTGTGCTGGACCATCGACCAGCCATCCACCTGCTGTGCTCAGACTGTGCTGGACCATCGACCAGCCGTCCACCTGCTGTGCTGGACCATCGACCAGCCGTCCACCTGCTGTGCTGGACCATCTTTCCTTTCTGAATCCAGCTTTGTGTTCACCCTGTGCTCCCACCGTGCCTCTGTCACCCCGGGATACTTGTACTTCAAAACCAGCAGCACTCGTGTTACCCAAATTTGGGGGAACCCACATGCCAAGCCTCTGCTCTTGAACTGCACCCTGGACACAACCACTTGATACCTTTCCAGATGCTCCAAGTGTTTATTCCAATTCCCTCCAGACACCCTGGGGCAGGATGTAGACAGAGGCTGTGTGACTTGAAGCCTGTGGCCTTCAGTGGTGGCTACCAAGTTCTGCTTCCACCACTGAGCATGGCACAGGCCTTGGCTCCATGTCCACTTCCAGCATGGCTCGCTGGGAGGAGACCGTTTCAGGGTGCTGGGGAGGAAGGGGCATGTTGGGGGCGGGAATGTGTGCGCATGCATGCTAAGGTCTTCAGCTTCTCCACCAGTGCTGGTCTTCCTCGTCATGGGAGTACCAGTCCCCGTCTATGACGACGTGGGGCTTGGCCTGCTGTACCCCCTCCAGCAGCTTTCGCGTCTCCTCGGGGTATTGCTCTTTGCACAGCCTGCGGGGAGGAGAGGGAAGGGGGCTCATGAAGAAGGCTCTGCCTTTGTCTCCTGGTAGCCCTTCTCCAAGGTTTCTGGATGACGCAGCAATTACCTGCGAACCTTTGGTACACAGGAGTATGGGTCCCCTCCCCGAGTGGGGGGAATGCGGGTTCCCTCAGGTGTCTCCCTCTCCCACCATCCGAAGCGGCACGTGCCACTCAGCCCCGTGTGAGGCCCCCATGACAGGAAGTGAGGAACAGTGATGGAGAAGGGTGACTCCCTGCGCCCACCAAGTTTAGACTGCAATGGAAGCCAGAGAAATGGGCGTTTGTAATTGGCAGGCTGCGTTGCTTTTACACGCCTTCTGTCATTACG